GGAAACTGCCTCATCACAATGATCGGGTTCCCAACTATCTTCTGGATGTAGTTCCTCGTCGAAATCTAGTCGCGTAGCCTCGTTCACGTCTCGTGTCAAACAAGCACTCGGTCGATCTCCAAATTCGTCTACCATCTTTAGGCGTGACACATGCACTACCGGGTAAAATCTGTACCCGCTTCGAGCTCGTAGGCAAACTCTTCTACTTTCTTCTTGATCCTGAACGGTCCATGCCATCGCTGTGCAAGTGTTTTCGTCAATCCTGGCTTCACTCGTTCCATGTACAGCCAGACTCGGCTCCCGACCTCAAAAAGAGGCCTCGTTGTGCTTGCAGCATTGGTGTCCGAGTCCTCGGTCACTGCCCCTGTCGTAGGCTGTTCGTCACTTGGCGTAACGGTTCGGCCTGTTTCTGGAGTTGTGCTTCTTTCTCGACCACGGAGGCTTTCATTGTGTTTCCTCGCTCTCCGAGCTTTCTCGGTGGCCTGATATTCCTTGGCCATTTTCAATGCTATTTCTTGCTGGCAGTTTACTTCTCGACACCATGCCAGTGCATCTGACTGTCGACCGAGTCCTCGTTTGAGCGACGAGGACATCGCCTTGAGTGTGGACTGGGCGTCCCACCGATGGACGAGGAAAAATGGCGTCTCTTTCCTCATTGTGTCCATCGAATGTTGATCGTATAGATCAACTTCTCTGCAATCTCATCCCAGTCTTGTTGCAGTGGATCTTCCGCGTACAGACGCACTGATTGCATGACAGTTTTGACCGAGCGTTCCTGCTGACCATTGGCCTGGGGCCGGTAACTCAGCGTTGCCCTAGACCTTGATTGCATCATTTAGGTGAACGACTGGTACACCTCACTCATGAATCGAGGGTCTCTGTCATGTCTGATGAGGGGGGGCGCACCGAATCTTTGGTACATACACTCCTCAAAGGCTTGGGCTACTCTCAGAGCAGTCGTGTCTGCCATAGCTTTGCCCATTACATACCCCGTGAATGCGCATTGGAATAGTAAGAGCGCTGTATTACCCCGCCGAGACTTCGGTAAGGGTATTACAAAATCCATCGAGACAACCTGAAACGGTCGTTCCGCTAGTATGTTCCCCGGGGAGTATCCGCGGATCGTTGGTCGACTTTTGCTTGAGCTACAATCGGGACAGGACCACACGTGCCTCGCTACGTCTGCGTATAGAATAATCCAACTTCACTCTGTAGAAAATCCGAGCGATCCCTTGATGGCCTCCTTCTAACGAGTCGTGACAGTTCTGCAGTACCTCTTGAATCATCGTTAAGGGTACCACTAGACGCAGCATCGCGTCTTCTTGCTGTTGGTCACGCCTCAGAGGCCTCGTTCCCACGTAGTAGAGTACATTCTCCTCACTTAGGACGAAGTGATCGGACATTTTCTCACTACACGGTACGTTAGGGTTGATTTTTCCCCACGGAGAACTATCTTCAAATTCGCCCACCGTAACTCCTCGTCCTGAGCAGTTGCGATCCTTCTTCGATATTCTCTTTGGGCCGTTAGGGGGCCCATGTCTTCCGCGTCAGGCAACGCGGGGGTATAACCGTTGGGTGCCGTTACTCTTGATAACTCCGCTTCCTGACGGACTGAATCCTCTGTTGGCACACCGTTGGTTTCCTCTCGTTGTGTTACGTCTTCTCCACCTGTCACCGAGGTTTCGTCGGCAAATCTGACGCGTTTAAGCTTCGACCTAGCTTGTAGCCTGGTCGTTACAGTTAGATCCTGTAACGGGGTTACACAAAACTCTAACCGCAACGTTAACCGGTTAGAGTTAGAGGTTTCCTATCTTGATGTGTAAGTACATCGAGGTTGTATATAAAAGAAATCCTATTGGTAGAGTGCGCCACACCTCTACCAATCAGCGATGCGGGTCACTGTCGCCCACTCGCTGACAGTCCCTTAGATATTAGATGATCAGTTTAGGAAGGGAACACTTTAGGAAGGAGACTCATAACAACAATAAACAGTTTTCAAATTACGCTATCTAGGTCCTATCTAGTCTTACTGTATACACATATCGTGTATACACTATACTACCTAGGAGAACCTACGCTTCCTCCTACACGTGCGCATACGTGTAAGCTAGGTAGTGAGCACTAGGCCGACTACAGATCCTCTATGTCCTTTGCACAAAATCGAAGAAATTTTTTCGACGCCGCTCCAGGACGGTTCCGGATCGCCATGGCGGTTCCATGTGTCGCAAATGTCGCGTCTGAAATTGCGCTTGTGCGATGCTAACCGAGGGTTCGTCCGCCGAGGACTCGGTGATGGGTGCATAGATGACCTCTTGGATGCGGTTCAGTGAC